GGCGGGGTCTTCCTGAAGGGGAGGAGCCAGGAGGCGGGATCTTCCTGAAGGGGAGGAGCCAAGGGGCGGGGTCTTCCTGAAGGGGAGGAGCCAGGAGGCAGGGTCTTCCTGAAGGGGAGGAACAAGGAGGCGGGATCTTCCCGAAGGAGAGGAGCCGGGAGGTGCAGGTTTTCTGAGGGGAGGAGCCAGAACGGAGCCCACAGAAGGGGGGGTTTCCAGAGCACAAGACTTTTAAACTCGGAAATGCTCAGAATGGTTTAAAATACCTTTCCTGTTTCCTTCAGGATTTTGCTTACTTTTTAAAGGTGTATCCTCACACTTGAAAGGCGCAGTGACCCTCCTTTCTCGGTGTGGGCTGGCTGGAGCAGCAGGACCTGGCTCCCGTCCCTGCGCAGCCCGAGGCGGGCTGTGCAGTGCGCCCTGGGGCTCTGCAGTTCCAGGTCTCCTCAGTCACACACAGCGCTAAAGTACTAAGCGAACAACTTAGAAATGAGCCAGTCGTCCGTGTTACACGGCACGCCTCCGAGCAGCCTGATGGAGTCCCTTCCTTCAGCATGCCGGCCAGTCCCGCAGGAGAAGCTGTGTGCAAAGATCCCAGGCCCCTGCAGCATCAGGCTGCCACTGGGGCCCTGGAGATGTCCTGGGGCGTGTGGCTGACAGCTGTGTGGTGTTGTGGCGGAAACCTTCAGTCTTGTCCTCAGAGTCTTGCAGCTATGGTTAGAACTTTCAGTAAAACAGTGTCACTCTCTGGCAAGGCACCTTGCCTCTCCGTGGCCTGGCTCCTGGCGCTCTGCTCCTCTGTGTCTGGATGCTGGCCCTGTCCCAGTCCCCTCTTTCCTCTGGGCGTGTTAGGCTGCTGCAGTTTCCCCTTAGAAGTGCCAGCAGAATGCAAGTGTCCTGGGCCTGGCACCCTGATGTTCCTTTTGTCAGCAGCGGTGTCTTGAAGCTGTCCCCTTAGGTTCTCCAGTGGGTCTGATCGGAGTGTTGCAGTGGCTTCCTGTGGCCCAGGACAGGCTACAAGTCCCTGTCAGGCCCTGTGACTCACCCATGGGCTAGGGTGGCCTTGTGTCTCTCTGACCCTGACCAGTAGTGGGGGTGAAGATTCAGGCCTTGTACACCCAGCGTCGTGTGCAGCATGGTGCAGACCTGGAGGCAAGTCGGGCCTTCTGGCAGGGACTGCATTTGTCTTGTGTCCTGTGGTGCTAGTCCTGTTGCTGCGTGCAGAGGTGGTCGAGAGCACTTGCTGACAAGTCAGGATGAATTTGGGCATGGGATTTCTGTAGAGTCATATCAGGGAAACCACAGTTAGTAGTCCCAGCTGTGCACACGCGGGCACAAGGCGGGTGCTCTCTCCTCCGAGGTGGGGTGCTTCTGCGGGTTCTGATTTCATGGTGCTTTCTTTCAGTGGTGATCAAGACAGCCGAGGTGGCAGCGCCCTTGCCCAATGGGCAGCAGACCCTGCCAACACAGCATGGATGGAGAGTGAGTATCCTGAGCCCTCTCTTTGGTCAGATCAGAAGCTTTAACATTTCTCTCTTATTTAAAGCGTCACAGGCTGAATGGGTGGGAATGTCCCTAGGTTCCCTGACAGGTCGTCGTTTCTACAGGTGATCACATCTGGCACTTGCCACCCCTCCATTGCACCTCTTGGCACGGACTTTGGTTGGGAAACTAATGTGTTGACTTGCAGCCTTGTTGGCCACTCTGCTGAGATGGCAAGGCATTCCTGCTGGCAATTCCTAGGAGCCACTTTGTCCTGGACGGTTTTGACTAGAGGTGGCAGTGGTTCAGCCAGCCATGGACAGATTGCAATTCCACATATGGTTTGATGTCCCAGGATGAGGCCCTTCCCTTCGTTCAGCATGCCCGCCAGCATGCCACATCTAGCACACGTTTAGCTAGATTCATTTCTTTAATGTTTAACGAAAAGTAAAGATTGCTTTTTGATTATGCCTTCTCTGACCCACCGGTCCTCTGACACTTGCATGTCGACTTGGGGGAAACCTTGGCAGCTGCTGCTGAGCACTGGATTACCTCCTGCAAATCCTCACACTGCTCTGCTCATGACTTCACAGAACACAGATCCTGGCTTAACTAGCTGGTTCTGCCAGGAGCTGCTGAATCACGATCATCGCAGAATTAAATCATCATCTGCCTCTTTGCTGGTGGTTTTATTTCCAGTGTGAAATCTTCCCCAGTTCCTCCTGTTACTCACTTATACAGTCCAGTTAATTAGAAGAGTTATACTTGAAAGGTAGTGCTGTGAACAAGTGTCCTTCACCCCTGTCTCAGAAAGGGGCAGTGTTTGCTGGGGCTGCAGTTGTAGTGCCCTCGTGACCCTGAGCTCGCCAGTGACAGCAGCTGCCACGTTCCCAGCTCTGGGCAGCGATGGCAGGGTGTAGGAGGAGCTTCTGCTCGTGTCCTGTACAGGAAGCCCTCACCCTGGGTTTTCCTGTGGGAAGACTTGGCAGTTGGAGTAGTCCTTTATAGAGAATGGAACGCTGGTAAGTGAGTGAGTGTTTTAGAAAAGTAACCCAGGCTGAGTGCAGTGGCCACGCCTGTAATCCCAGCAGCTCAGGAGGCTGAAACAGGAGATCACAGTTTAAAGCCAGCCTCAGCAAAAGCGAGGTACTAAGCACCTCAGTGGAACCCTGTCTCTAAAGAAAATACAAAATAGGGCTGGGGATGTGGCTCAGTAGTCGAGTGCCCCTGAGTTCAATCCCTGATACCCACTCTGCAGCCCGCCATCCCCGCTTCAAAAAAAAAAGTAATAGCAAGGTCCTTCTGTGAAACAGACACGTTTCAGTCAATGCCAGGTCACTGCTGCTCTGACGAGGCCGTCTTATACAGCATGTACCATGTGGCCTGTGCTGCCCGCTCCTGAGGAAACTCACCTTCACGGAGCAGGAGTGGTGCCCGAGGTGCCAGCTGAGACATTCGTCCCCCACGTGCACCTTGCAAGCGCCGTGGGGCCGTCGGTCATGTCAAGGCTTTCCTGTTTTACATGGCACAAGTGGTTTCCCCTTTATTTCCAAAACTGTGGACGTCACCTTTGTACTTTGTACATCAGAAGGCTTTATGGCCACAGTCTTGTGTAGGAGAGCCATGCAGAGGTGAGTAATTGAACACAGGTCATAGGACAGGTCACCTGTTGTGGCCTTCCACAGCTTGTCCACAGAGTGGCATCTCTCATTCCAAACAAAAGAGTCCTCCCCAACAGCAGTGCTTGTCCCATGGTGGGCCAAAGAAGCCCACTAAAGTGGCTTTTCAAGCCAGTGTGGCTTCTCAGGGGACAGTGGGCCTGGGAGCTCCAGGTGCCTGTGGTTCCTTCAGGGTGGCCCTGACAGCTTCTTCCCTTTTGTTGCAGATCCAGAGGAAGCCATTTATGATGATGTGCCCAGGGAGAATTCAGACTCGGAACCAGGTTTGCTCTTTCTGGACCTGAGCTTAGCAGTCTTTTTCTCTGGGTGCGGAGGGGCTCCTGAGCGTGCAAACAACCCCGGGGCCGGGTGCATGTGTGTTCTGTGTTCACATTCCACATGTGGTCCGTGGCTCGCTGCTGTGGTGTGGTAGAACACTGGTGTGCATGCACATATGTGTGGACAGCACGTGAAGCAGGAGTGAAAGATGTGGACGGTAGGAGCAAAGACCTCAGACCCTTGGTGGCCAAGAAGCCCCAGCCTGTGTCTGAAGATGACATCAGTGGGAAAATGGGGAGAATCAGGATTGGGTGGCATCACTAAGAATTTTCTAGGGTTACAGAAAGACCTAAATTCTCAGAAATACCGACTCAACCCAGGATTAGTTAAACGCCAGTCCATACTAAGCTAATGCCGCAGAGCGGAGCCCCAGATCCAGTGGGAACGTGGAGGGCGGCTGGGACCGCAGCCCACGGCGGATCTGCAGTTAGGACCTGGGGGGCAGCCCTCTTCATCTGGGAGACAGCACCAGGGAGTGAGGGAGTAGCCGCTCTCTGAACCTGGACTTGCAGGTTCCTTCAAGAAGGAAGATCTGCTGGCCACAGCCTGGGGAGCTTGCCCCCTTGTGGATGCTGAGGACATACTTAATGTCAGGTTTCTGAGGACACAGTGCGGAGCCTAGAGGAAAGTGAGGGGAAGAAGAGGTCGAGGTGCATGTGTAGCCTTGCAAGCCCAGGGCCACCCATAACGGTGGCAGCTCCGTGGGGCTCAGCCCTGGGTGGCCCTGTGGCTGGGAGGGCGCTGCTCCACCAAGCCCTGAGGCCACCTTTACAGCTGGCCGGGCTCCTTTGTTGCCTCCTTTCACTTTGGGGCCTGTGAGGGTCCAGTGTGTTTCATGGGTGACTGCTAAGAGAGTGAAACGCAGTGTTAAATGACAAACCGTCATTCTGGCTAAAGGTAGAAGTGCAAGTTAAGAAAGAGTAGCAGTGGTCTGAGAAAGACTACAGAAGTCCAGACATTGGTTCTCACGGAAAACGGGAGTCAGATCCAGTTGCCAGTGGGAGAAGTCCTCAGAGGGATAAAATGGAGAGTAACTGTGTCTCTCGTGAGCGAGAGGGATGCAGAAGATCTGAAGTAACTGGTAGGAAAAGAAATGCCCGGGCTCTGTGAGGCGGCCACTGGGGCCGCTGTAGAGCACTGTCACGGGTCTGCAGTGCTGAGCCCGGGTTTCCTCACGGCATAGCCCCAGGATACCTAGAGCCCACTCTGACCTGGTTCCGCTACTGTAGGAGGGGCAGCCCTCCCCTGTGGAAGGACCCGGGATGCAGGGCCAGTGAGCGTAGAAGGTGAGTCTGAGGGACAGAAAGGACGCACAGAGCCATGGAGCGAGTTCCCAGTGAGCCACAAAGACGGACAGTGTCAGAGAATTGCTGTTCAGGTCTCCTCCCTGGGTACCAGTCCAATAAGATGGGTAAAAACCACAGACATTTGGGAATTATCAATCACTGCTCTGCTACTTGTGGTCAGTTTGAAAACAATGAAAATCAGAAGTAATTTGACTTGAATAATCTAGAAATGTGTAGGGTAGATTTAAGATAATAAAGCTGTCTACATAATAGCATATGTTAAAAATGGATTGCAAAGTCCTGAGCCTGGGTACAGTCCAGTCACGAGAACAGACAGCAGAGTACACTAAGGATGGTGGGAGGGAGGAAAGAAGATACCGGAAAGTGATAAAACAGTGACACAGCAGCAGGGTTTCAGCAGAGCCCAGGCAGTCCTTGGAAAAGTAGAGACAGGCCCGCCCCAGTGGTGCCCTCAGGGGGAGAAGCGGAGAAGGGGAGCAGGGGGAAGACTGTAGAAGACCCAGAGTGTAGGTGCAGCACGTATTTGAAGAAGCTATAGCTTTTCCTCGAAAAATTAAAACCCTTAAGTTACGTTTTTCTGTAAGAGTCAGCTGTATCTGAAATTGAAAGCATTAATCTGCAATAATCGAGGATGCTGAATCCATGGCTTGGCTCATGTGCAGAACAGTCCCCAGACACAGAGCTGGCCCATGAGCTGCAGGAACGAGCAACCCTCCAGTGCACCCTGTTCCTGTGATGGCAGACGGGTGAGGCTCTAAACTCAAGATGTAGTGTAAACTTGCAAACCCCTCCCTCGAAATCTGGATGTCCCAGATGAGACAGGAAATGAGTCCAGTGGTGACCCAGAAAAAAGCAGAATCCCACTTAGCCTGGTGGGTGTGTCCTGGGAGTCGGGTCCTTTCTACAGGGTGAGGGCAAACGCACTTCAGTGGCCATTGGGAAGACTACAGGAGAAGGGGCCTTTCCCAGCCTGACCAGGAATGGGTTCCTGAAATCCGTCAGACTTCTCAGAGGTAGAGTGTTGGAGACTCATTAGTTATCCATTTCTGGAGTGCCTGGGGCCTGTCCACCCCAGGAGAAGCTGTGCCCCTCTCGGGATTCTCCTGCAGGCCAACAGTCCCACCTGGGCCTCTTGATAAGGGCAATTGCCTGGAGCAGGTGATTTATGTAAGTGCAAATAAGGGGGCCCCAGCTCACTGCCTACAGGCCAGCTCATCTACCTGGTAGGGTCACTGGCCATGCCAAGTAGCCTGTGCCCTGGGTCTGCCAGGAGGTGGCTGCCAGGGATGGCTGTGGTCCTGGTTGCCCGTGCCCCCTTTGTGAGGACAGCACTGCAGAGAGTTGATGCTCAGGGACCAACTCCCCTGGTTCTCCTTTGCAAGGAGATTCTGCTCACAAACATTCCCAAAACCTTGTGGCTGTGGGAGCCAAGTGTCTTCGTGTCTTTTTCAAGGTCTGAGAGTATCTTGTTCCTGATGGTCCTCTGAGGTCAGCAAGACACTTCCCTGGCCAGGATCGTGCTGCCCACGGGAGCTGATGCTCTTTGCCTCGAGTGTCTTGCTGGCCCCGAGGTTTTGAAGAACACTTGGGAGTTTCCTGGGCCGTGGCTCACGTCTGTCTCAGCCCTGTGGGCCACTGTGACAGAGTGCAGTAGCCTAGGTGTCCTGGAGACACGAGGCATCGCTGTGTGCAGGTTGGTGTCAGGGCCCCTCCCTGGGTGTACTCTGCCTTCTCCCTGCGTCCTCTGCGGAGGAGGCCGGCAGCTCCCTGGGTCTCCCTACGAAGGGCCCACGAAGGGCCCTGATCCCTGCTGAGAGCTCTGCCCTCAGGACCACCTGCTGACGCCATGGCCGTGGGGATGCGGTGCCCACATGTGAGGCTTGGCATCAACAGTCAGGCCATGCTTGAGAATCTGTGGCACCCGCAGGTGGACCTCCAGAAACTCATGGCCCAGGGCCCAGCACGACTGGTAAAGGGCAAGAGGTGGGGAAGCTCAGGAAGCACAGCGCACATGAGCCCAGACAGGCTGAGTGTGGACTCGGCAGTGTCCAGCCACGGGCATGGGTCAGCGCCGGTGGTGCACGTATCCTTCGGGACAGCACCAGCAGGAGTGACCTGTGCTGACCTGGAGGACCGAGGCTGGTCAGCTAGATGGTCAGCAGTTACTTCTGCCTCTAGTGAGACCAGTGAGGCCTCCGGGCAGGTGTCTGGTAGGCAGCAGGCATGCGCGCCACCCTGTGCGTTTTCACCCGTTCAAGTTCCACGCTCCCGTGTCTCTGAATGAAGCCGACGCAGTGAGCTCCGAGACTCCGTCCTTGGACTCCGAGTCCCAGGGCCAGGCGCCTCATGGCTCTGGGACAGCTGCCCTTGCGCCCAGGTTCCTCCTAGAGTCTACCTGGTGGCGTTGGCCTGGCCAGCATGTGGGAGGGCACTGAGGGGCTCAGCAGAATCTTGGAGCCACAGAGGCCACCCCCTGCCGGCTCCCCCAGCTGTGCAGCTGCTGTGTATACCTAGATCCCTCCTGGACTTGTGGCCCAGCAGGCCCTGGGCTGCGGCTGGAGGGACGGGCGGGCGCTGTGGGGGCTGGGTTCAGTCCTCAGTTTTGGAAACCCAGGAATTGCAGAGGGTAGATGTCCACGTCGTCATCCACCCTCCAGCGGAGCAAGCCCTGACCTGTGGGAGGCGAAGGAGCCCTGGGGGAGGATCTGGAACTTCCAGGGATTTAAAGTGGCCATTTCCAGCAGAGGCAGACGCCACCTTCCCCCTGAGGAGTGTGTTCCTCCTGCTCAGGGTTCTTAGTCCAGGTTTTACCGCAGTAAAGGACTGAGGTTGCGCGGTAGAGGTCATAGAGATATGGATTTATCTCGATGCAGGAAATGCCATCTTCCAGGAAGGCTGCCCTTAGGTGACCATCTAAGCAGAAGGCCGCCTTCTGTCCTTTGTCCTTGGTAAACTTCAGCCTCATGCAGAGCCACGTATGCCCCTGAGACGCACAGTTGGGATCAGGAAGGCATGTGTTTGGGGTCTGAGGACGTCCTCTGTCCTCCAGGAGCCCTGGAGCCAGCGGCCACCACTGCGGGGGGGGGGCACCTCGCTGTTCTGCTGATGCTGCTTGTTGGTGGGGATCGTGGCGTCCTGGCACCTGCTGGGAGGAGGCTTTCTCTCGTGGGCATCAGGCCTTGGCCCACTGTAGGAGGCACCGCTCAGCTTCATCCACAGGACACATGCCGTGGGTGGCCCTTGGGGTTTTAACAGAGAGCTCCTTGTCATCGTACTTGGTGACATAAATATGACATGTCTTCATTCATTCTGAAATGACCTATGTGAAGAAGGCATTTAAATACACTAGCAGATTATGTTTTATCACCATTTTTAGCATGAAAGCAAACTGTACAGTTGTTTGAAGCAAGTGCACTGTGTCGGTGCTTCAGTATTTCATCTGCGTAGAGGAAATCAGCAGCCGTTTGTCACCTCTCCTCCTGGCCACCCAGCCAGCATCTGCCGTCTCTCTGCCCACCTGCCATCTGCCCAGCATCGAGCTGTCTGTCATCTTTCTATGCTGTCTGCACTTCCCTGTGACTTTCCTTCATGGAAAGTTTGCTGTTGCTAACAAGTTACTTGGTGTCATTGTGGGGGGCTCCCACAGAGCCACATCCCTGGGAAACGGATGGGGTTGGGGACCTATGAGAACCACCGAGGAGCTGCCCAGTGGAGGAGCTGCTAAGTGGCGCCTTTCCAAGAAGCGTGTCGGGCACTGGGATGTGTCCCGCCCCTGGGCTAGATGGCGAGGTAAAATCACGGCCAGGCTGGTGTGCTGCCTCTCCATTTTAATGTTGTCTTGGTGTTTGTGCACTCAGATGAAATGATTTATGATGACGTGGAGAACGGAGATGAAGGTGGAAACAGTTCTCTGGAGTACGGGTGGAGTTCGAGTGAATTTGAAAGCTACGAAGAGCAGAGTGACTCAGAATGCAGGAACGGAGTCCCCAGGCCCTTCCTGCGCAGCAGCCACAAGAAGCAGGTAGGTGTGGGTCTGGCTTGGGTGGCTGTCCCCCCCTCGGCACATGCACGGGCTGTGAGATATGGATTTTATTCACAGGGCACTTATGGGATTGTTTTTAAGACCTCGACATTCAGTTTGGGGAGAACATGAGGTATCTTTACGTGGGGTGAATGATCACAGGTAGTTGGGACGTTACACCTTCTTAAGCTCCATCGCTGAAAGGACCCCAGGCAGGCCCCTGTCCAGGCGTTGTGTGGCTCCTGGTGGTGCCCTGTGGCTCCTGCTTGCTGTGTGTGCCAGGCCCACGCAGCCGGTGGCCTGACGGGTGCCGCTCTGCTTCCTTCAGTGGAGTCCTGAGAGCCCGCGTCTCCCCACAGGCGTGTGCAGGGATGAGCCCCGGAGTCCAGGCGGCCTGCGATGACCTTTTCCTAAGGAGAGCTTTAAATGTTTTTGTGGAAATCCTACAGGTGGGGTCCAGGGAGGAACTTGGAACCCTCCAGGAGTGAACTCCAGAGCTGGTGGGGCCGTGCGTGGCTGCAGCCTCCTCCCCGAGGCTCCTCTGCAGTGAGGCCTTTGCCATGGGTGGGGGCCCAGTTTTTGTTGGTGGGGGTCTTCTGGCCAGGTGTGGGAGGGTCTCTGGGTACCAGTGTGTCCAGTCCCACATACCAGGGTGTGGTCAACAGGCAGGCCACATGCGGCCCTTCTCTGAGGCTGGACACCTTTGTACTGTGACTAGTGGCCGTGGCCAGGTTTGTCCCGCTCCCCAGGGACCCCACAGCCAGAGGCCGCGTTCCGGATGCAGTTCCGTCTCTGTGGCTGGCAGGTTCCAGGGCCGCTTGGCGCTCTTGTGTTCTCTGAACTCGAGTTGTGAGAGTGCTCAGCTCAGCTGCTCAGGTTTGTCACCAGGCTCCTTCTAGACACCCGGGCAGCACGGGGCTGGGTCAGACCTTCCTGATGGCAGCTGAGGTTTCAAGAGCAGTTCTCGGTGTAGCATTCAAGGTGGCCTGGAGCGCACGGGGGAAACACTTGGTTCTGTCCTGTGGCTCACGTGGCAGCTGGGCCTGTTGGACAGCACACGACCACGCTGCCCTCCCAGGAGACTGTGTTCCCACTCGGGCCCCCAGCACACCAGCAAGGATGTCGGAGAGGGCGCAGTGACCGGGCAGCCCTTCCCTGCTTGGAGGAGCACGCAGGGCCGCACGGGCCTGGCCTGTGGACGTGGAGCCCTGCGAGGCAGCCAAACTGGGTTTCCTGCCAGGAGGAGCAGGTGGGGTGTGCACAGGCAGATGAGGTTTCTAGCCTACGAGTTTATATTTTAAACTGCCAGAGTAAAACCATGAGTGGTGGGGAGTCGGGAGGCACCGCAGGCTTTTGTTAAACACGGTGACAGTTTCTCTGGTGGACATGAGAAACGCCCCCAAGGAGCAGAGGGCTTGGGGTGTGCATTTGAGATGCTGGTCAGTGCAAAAGAGCCCAGCCCAGCCGGTCAGTGAGAGGCCGGAGCGGTACGGAGGCAGTCCTACAGGCAGCGTTCCCGTGTGGGGACTGATGCAGAGGCCTGGTGCTGCCCAGGCCACGGCTGTCCTCCCAGGTGCTGCTGAGTGACGTCAGGTGCTGATGGGTGTGTGGTGCACTTGCCACTTTGGTGGCCAGGGCAGTGTCCTCTGGTAGAGTCTCGGGCACACAGACCTTCACCTCTCCATCAGCAGGGCTGGGCCCAGGAGAGGGGCCAGTGTCCTTCGCCCTGAGGTGCCCTGTGCAGGCAGGGCCTGTTTTGAAGCTGTGTCTCTTTATGCCACAGCTTTCCCATGACCTCACCCGTTTAAAGGCGCACTGTGAGGAGAAGGTGAGAGGCTTGGTGGCGAGCACGGTGGGCACCGTGGAGGGGCGGCAGCTGCAGCGCAGGCACCAGCGCAAGGTAGTGTGGCTCTTCCCAACCATGGCCAGAGATGCTGCCCGCAGACCACCGGGCACCCGGCCTCTGTACCACTGGGCTGGAGCAGTGTTCGGGTGCACCCGGCACCTCTGGCTTTCGATGCTGGCCTCTGTGTGCCTTCTACACTCCTTGCCTCGCAAGCAACGGGAGCCACAGGAGGTCTGCGAGGGTGGTGTTGAGCCTGTGTGCCGGGCAGCGGGTCAGAGGCACAGATCTCCCCAAGGGCAAGACAGGCCCTTGCTGTGCGGTTTGGAAAATATAGGAGTTTCCCATAAATACGACATTGAAGATGATGTGTCATGGGTTTTTTTTTTTTAAATAAAAATTAATAAAAGTAGTCAAAGATTCTCAGTTTTAATTTCTGCTGCAGTCACTTTCTGTTAATAAAACTCAGATAAACTCATGCTCCTGGGAGTCTCCTTTAGCTTGGAAGGGCTGGGGTGTAGCTCAGCGGTAGGGCACATGCTTAGCACCCACGAGGCCCCAGCAAGTAATGACAGTTTTTAAGGGAGTAAAGAATAGCTCCCAGGCCAAGATGTTTCAGAACTGCTGGGTGTGGACACTGCAAAGGTCAGTTCTTTGGATGTGTTTTAAAAGAGCACTGTCAAGTAATTCCCCTCAACCGCATCTTGACCCTGCGCTGTGCGTGACGTGTCATTCCCTGAATAGCCCTAGCAGCAGGAGGCCCTTCTGGTTGACTCCACAGGACCGAGCAGAGCCAGGGTGGCAAGTCTGGGATGGTGGGTTGCCTCCAGGGCCTCCTAGGGGCCCCAGGCCCTGGGGAAGGGGTGCAGTGCAGTGCAGCCCACTTAGCCGAGCTTGGATCAGAAGACATGTGAAACAAGACCCGGTGGACACCTTCCTTTCAGGAAGAAGAAAATCCTGCAGAGCCAGGAGGCCTGGGCAGGGATGTGGCCAGGGATGAGCCCCAGGCCACGCTGCTTTGCCACCCAGCATGGGGCTGTCCTGTCCGGCAGCCATCCTCAGCTTCACACATGGTCAGGCTGGGTACCAGGTGCAGGGAGCCACCCAGCTCTGGGGTGAGGAAGGAGCAGGACCTAGAGGGACCTGCAGTGCAGTGGATGTGAAGCCCCCAGGGTGAGGGGCAGAGGCATGTGCGAGAAGCCACAAGCCACATAGGCTGGCCAGCCGTGGATGGTCCACTGTTGTGCAGGCGTGTAGCGGGCAAGAGTGGCTTCCGTGTTTTGGTAGTCAGAGAGAATGGCCCAGTTCAGGGTGGAAGCTGGAGTCGGGGTGCCTGTGGGGCGTCTCACAGACTGGGGTGAGCATGTTGAATGGCAGCCAGAGGCGCCCATGGGAAGCAGCCTGGGGCCTTGGGGAGGAGCCTTCAGGGCTGCCAGCTCACCGCAGTGCCCTGCCACATGAAGGGGGCAGAGGTGGGGCCATGGGCTGCATGGGGCTGTCTGGTCCCCTGAAGGGCCACTCGGGTGTACTCGGGAAGAGGACGTTGAGCAGGCACTGGCCAGTCCCTCCAGCGTCAGGTCTTCAGGGTGGAAGTCGGTCCCAGCACGAGCCCAGGGCTCCTGAGTGCTGGTGGCAGTTGCCTTAGGGGATGTTGAGCACCTGCTTGTCCCTCACTTCTTCCCCTCATGTCTACCACCGCCTGACCGCCTTGCCTTTGGCTCCATGCTCTGGAGGGGTCTGGTGACCATTAGAGAGGCACAGCTGACCATGCCTGCTCATGGGCATCTCAGGAAGGGCCCTGTGGAGAACGCAGGAGGTTGGAGCCGCCAGAGTGCAGTGGGCGGTCCCGCCGCGTGGTGCCGGGCGTGCCTTGGCCAGCTTGGCCTCTGTGGCTTCAGTGCCAGGGGCTCTGCAGAGCTCTGTCTGAGTGAGAGGGGTAGAGTGAGGTCTGGCGTTCAGAGGCCGCAGCAGGGCGGGCGCTGTCCCAGGTCCCTGTTTACCTTTCATTTTTACAGATAAATGAGATAGAGAAAGCCACAGAGCCATACACACCCGGGCACCGCCTCAAGCCAGCCTACTTGACAGTACTCTTTTAAAACACCCAGCCCAGCGGCCCGGTCCTGGGCGCCTCCTCACCCCTCCCTCTCCCTGCAGATGCAGAAGCTCATGAAGGCCGCCAGGGAGGGCACCAAGGACGGGCTGGAGAAGACGAGAGCCGCGGTGAAGAGGGGCCGCTCCTTCATCAGGACCAAGTCCCTCCTATCTCAAGGTCAGGACCCCGAACTGTGCCCTGTGACCTAGGTTCCCTGGCCTCCGCGGTCTGGAGCTGGCCCTTCTTGCTGGAGAGGTTTGGGTCAGCCCAGCTACCCCAACCTGCCCCCTCAAGTGGAGGGGTCCCTCACTGCTAGGCTGAGAGTCCCCAGGTCACCACAGGGGCACACACAGTAAGCAGAGGACAGTAAAGGAGGGCTCTCCCCCAGTGGGGCCGCCATTCCCCCCTCTGTGCTGACCCCCCATCTCAAGCCCTTTCCTACATAGGATAGCGGCCAGGGACCCTGGTGAGTTTCCTGAGCCTGCACAGTGGTTGTGTGGACAGGCTCCTGGCGGTTGTCCTGTGGGGACAGTCACAAGCCAAGCAGGCAGCCGTCTCGGCGGGATTCTGGGACCTCTTCACTGGGTCAGATTTTCGCGTTTTCCTAGGTTTTGCCTTGGGGCCCTGGACACAGTACTGTGTGCTGGCAGTGAGCTGCAGGCCGGGTCACTGACGTCCGCGGTTGTCCTCTCTGCACGGACACCAGGGTTGGGCTGTGGGAGGGCCCTGACGGGTCTGGAGCACCTGTTTCCTGGATGGCTGTATCCACACACGGGTGCTGGTGTGTGTGGCACTCCCCACGCACCTGCTCAGCAAGCACTCGGCAGCAGGTGTCTCTGCAGGCAACAGCGGAGGAGCCCTGTGTGGAACTGGAGTCAGCCAGACGGAGGCCGTCAGGAGCCCGTGGCCTCACTGGTGGAGGAGATAGACTGGAGCCTTCTAAGGAAATGTGCTGCAAAGTCGCTCCCCAGGAGAGCGCCAGCAGCATCGCGGCACCAGGCGAGGGCGCTGCCCTGGAGATGGCCTCTGCCTGGTCTCCAGCAGCACCTGCAGGATCCTCAGGTGGAGCAGCTGGGACCTGCACACGTTCTGTGGGTCTCTGCCTCCCAGAGACTGCCGCCCGCAGGAGAACCTCTGTCCATCTGGGTCCTGGATGACGGAGTGGGTCAGAAATGTCCAGCCTGGCCCCGCCCAGGCCCCAGCAGGATCCACGTCCCGACAGTACCCCGAGGGACGGTGCAGGCCATGAGAGCAGCTGTGGTGCACCTCTGGCTTAGCAGGTGGTCTTGGGCGTCTGCCGGGGAGCTGCAGCACTCAACAGACAGGTGCCTGAGCCCTCTGGCTCCATTCCCTGAGCAGCTCACTAAACTAGCGCCAACTTAGGTCTGGGTTTATACAGAATCACTTCAAAAGTGCTTAGGGAGGCCGCGTGCCCAGCCCCCACCCCAGCCCTGCAGCCTCCGAGGCAGGGGTCTGGGCAGGTCTGTGGGAAGCCCCGCAGCTAGTCTCTGTGCAGCCAGAGCTTGGGGTCTCCGAGTTGGAGCGCTCAGGCTGCTCTCTGAGAGGCTCCTGGCTCTGTCTTCTCGCCATCTGGTGCAGACTGGCCTTTAAAAATCATTTCAGTTTCAGTTTGAACTTCTTGGTTTTGGGGAAACTGTCCTTTTCTAGACTTTTATCTGGGAAGAAGACAAAGTCAGGAACACTGGAAGTCCCACCTGAGTGTCCACTGACCTAAGTGCTTTGTTCCGAGCTGTCTCGGCACCTGCTTGCTTCCTGGTCTCAGACCACGTAGGCTGAGAAACCAGAACATTTGTCGTCACGCTACCTTCCCAGCTATCCAAGTGACACCTCAGTTTCAAATATTGACACTGTAGTTTCCTCATGGGTATTTTGTTTGGGTTGTTAAAATTTCAAGTCAACCATAGCTGGGAGGAAAGTCAGCCTAGAGATGGAAACCTCTATGTGAGCGGTTCATGCGACAGCTGACTTTTCTGTGCTGCGGCTAAGTGCATGATCTGAATGTGAGATTCATGGGTCTTCACCTTTCTCCAGATCACAGGTCTGGTCTCGATGAGGAGCAGAGTCTGTTCATTGACGTGGACTGCAAGCACCCAGAGGCCGTCCTGACACCGATGCCCGAGGGTTTATCCCAGCAGCAGGTGGGTCGAGCTGGCAAGGCCCAGGTGCTCTGGGCCAGTGGGAAGACACTCGAGTGTTCACGCGCTGGTCGGTGCCTGCTGTCCTGGCACCCTGCCCTCCGTCCACTCAGTCACCACTGCCTGCCTTTGGTCCCCAGCTGCACACAGGAGGGCCCTCCCAGGGGGTCCCAGGTCTTACCGCAGACTCCATCAGGTCACTTTGTCCAGAAGTATTCTGAATGCCATCTCCTGTGGAATTTTGAGGAATGTGTAGTGATTGCAGTCTTTGCAGCAACAACTCTTACAAGTTTGTGTTGTTGTGGTCCTTTTACAAAGAGCCAGTGTGTGATGTGGTTAAGTCAGTATATGTTCACAGGAGCCACAATTAAGATGAAAACAGTTTTCAGGAGCTAATGGAATAAACCTCATGTCTTAAAATTGATCATAGATGGCAAAGGGAGAAAAAATTAGTGGTTTCTATCTGGTCATCTTTGGGTGAATGGAAAAGAGAACTTAAAAAACAAGAATAATGCCACAGAGTTTGAGGGGACTTACGGGCAGGGCATGAACTTTTGGATGGGGTTTGAGTTCTTTTCCAAGTTCTTTTGAGTTCTTTTCTGTTCCATGTTGTAGCATGGTGCAGACCATGGACAGATGGAGAGGTGAGTGGACAGATAGATGGCTGATGGGTGGGTGATGGATACAAGAACCAGGGATGATGGCTGGATAGGTGAAGGGCAGATGGATGGATGACAGACGGACAGTTAGGGTCAGGGGTGAGTGAGAGATGGACCAGTGTATAGACGGAGAGAGTGACTGAACAACATAGACAGGTGATGTGTTGGCGCCAGGCAAGGAAGGCAACGTAAAGATGCTAAGCGGATGGTCAGAGTTTTTTAAAAGTTAAAAAGGATACCTAGGAGCTGTCAATTTTCTTCCCGAAAGGCAGGTTGACGTTTTCCTAGTACTGAGGGGGGAGGCTGAGGGAGCGGAGAGGAGGGGGGAGGCCGGGGGAGCGGAGAGGGTGGGGGAGGGTGGGGGAGGCCGGGGCAGCAGCAGAGAGGGTTGGAGGAGACCCAGGAAGCAGAGAGGGATGGGGGGGGGTTGGAGGAGCGGAGAGGAACAGGGAGGGGGAGGTCGGGGGAGCGGAGAGGAACTGGGGAGGGAGAGAAGAGCGGCCAAGCGAAGAGCGTTGCAGACTAGGTCTGCAGGGCCTGTGTGAGTGGAGGCTCCTACACCCCTGCCTGTCTACTTCCTGAACCATGCATGGGGTCCAGGATGATGTCCCACTCTAGGTGTATGTAGGACTCAGCAGCGGAGGCCACCGCAGGCCGGAGGGCGCTGGCCCAGCAACCCCAGCTCCTGGCCATTCAGCTGTCCTAGCTGCACAGTGATTCCCTGGAGCCCTTGGCTTTGAAAGGTTCAGAGCAAAGCTTGGTCCTTGGCCCCGATGCCAATCTAATAACAAGGATATGGTTTTGAGAAACAGGAATAAGAAGGTTTATTGATTTGCCAGCAAAGGAGAAAGACGAGACTCCTGTTCCAAAGGCTGTGATTCTGCCTATGTGCAGGAACAGGAGGCTTTATAGAGGAGATTCAGAGAAAATGACATTAGGAGCAGAGGATCAGGGAGAAGACCAGGGAAAAGAAGATCAGGGAGGAGAAGTTTAGGGAAAAGAAGACTGGGAAAAAGAAAAAATATTTAAGTTTCAAAGCCCCAAGGGATACAGTCAAAGCATCAAGTGAACCCCTGTCACAGTAGTGTCCTGCCAAGGCTTGTCCAACCCCCAGGTCTGCCGCTGGGATGGAGCTCGTCATTTGGTCCAGTGAGGCACTTACTGAAGGGAAAGGAGGAGCGAGACGGTAAATGAGAAATGAAAGATGGAGGCCAGGCAGACATACACCGGAGAGTTTATTTGTCACAGTTGACAATAAAGGCCATCTCTACAGGAGAGAGGCAAAACAGGCTTGGGTTCTGGGACTTTCATGGGGGAGCGGAGAGGGACAGGGGAGAAGGTCAAGGATGGGGTTGGTTTGAGGGAGTGGTGAGCCTTTCTCAGAAACGCCCTTGGGCAGGGAAAGTGACACTTTTTCTTTAAGATGGCCGTCCAGGGGCTGGGGTTGTGGCTCAGCAGTAGAGCACTCGCCTTGCACATGCGAGACCCTGGGTTCGATCCTCAGCACCACATAGAAATATATGAATGAAATAAAGATATTGTGTCCAACTACAACTAAACAATAAATATTCAAAAAAAGGTGGCCATCTAGATGCTAAGCAAGGACCCCGTGCTGCCTTTGAGCCCATTCTCTGCTCTTTGTGAAATGGCAGTGCTAGTAGCTAATGAGGTCTTCCTGGCCATGCAGGAAGAACTAGGGAGATTGGAAGGCCAGACGGAAATTCAACCCAAAGGGGAAGAAAGGGAGAGGCAGAGAGAAAGAGAGCACAGGAAGAGAGAGAGAAAGAGAAAGGGTAGAGAGAGGAGAGAAAGAAGAGGAAGAGGAGAGAGGAGAGAGCTTGTGCCTACACAAGCTTTGGCTTAAGAAGGGTGGCATAGGGGACGTGGCTGGTGCTGATTGGCAGGGTGACTCAGCGAGCAGACACTGGGTCCTGTGGGGATTGGTCAAGGTGCCCTTTGGAGAGGAGGGGGAAGGGTAAAGGATTCCATGATGTCTCAGAAGGGGGGTCTCCCACACACCCAACAGAGATGATGCAGAGGAAGGGCTTTGGGCGCTCCCTCACAGCACGGCAGCTCTATAGGCCAGAGCTGGGTCTGGGCTGCTGCTGTCCCCCAGCACCAGGATGCGGTGTTTTCCATTCAGCTTGCTTCTTACAATCAGGGTCCCGTGGTTCGATTTTGCTATTGTTAGCTGCATTCTCCATGGGAGTTTTGTCTTTAAAGGTTAAACTGGAGGGGGTGCTTTTGAATTCCCTTTCTTTTCGCCTTTGAAAAATGGGAAAAAGGTAACATGACTAGCTGGGAAGGCTGTGTGCTGAGCATACTTTACGCCCCTGCTTCCGGGGATGGAGGAAGCCCTTGTTCATTTCCGAGGACACCGCGTCCTGCCTGTCACCCTTCTTGTCCCGTGCATGTTGTGCCCAGCAGGGTGGCTGTGGACTGGTCCAGAACCTCCCTGGTCTGGCTCCTCCACCAGACCTGTGTCCTTCAAGTCAGTGCCCTCCTTGGGGTCCACTTCCCTTTGTTTATTCCTTCTGTTTTGCACATTCTCTTCCTCGACCTTGACTGCCGCAGTCCAGATGCAGCAAAATAACCGGGGGTGATGAGCAGCTTGTGTACATTGATACAGCAGGAGTGGGAGCCGTTTATTGTAGGACAGGAGGGGTATATATACATTGCACACAGCTTAACTTAATTAACATAAACTGGATACAGCGGTCAACCAATAAGGAATCTCCACACTTAATGGCTCGCTGGCGTTACTTCACAAACCCCTCCCTCTGGCAAAATGCCAGGCGCCATCCTGACTTGTTTATCCCCTAACACTTGATCTCGACCTTGGATTGGTCATGTTGGGAAGACACTGCACCCTCTCTTGTCCCCCCACCCAATCTGGGCATGTTACTTGATATGTCAATTCTAGCTGCCCACGAAGGTGGACGTTACCTGCAGGGGCATGGAATCTGGGAGATTGCTTTTGGTCTTGCATTTTAATATCGCACGCCAGTTCAGCACCTTGACCTCACGTGTTCCTAGCATCTCAGGACGCACATGCACACACACGCGGGGGGCCTGACCCTTGAGATGGTGTGTGGGGGCTGAGTTTTGGAAGGAAGAATGGGGGAGATTAGGAGATGTGAGGATCATTTTAGAATGAAGAGTCTACTCAGCCCGTGCCTGTGAGCCAGCCAAGGTCAAGGTCAAGGTCATGCTGTGGCTACTGGGTTACTCAGTCCTGTTTGTCTCCAACCCCAGCCACACCTGTATTGTAGGTGTTCTGGAAGGATTTGTTTTTGTTATTTTTATGAATTAAATCTGTGGTCTGTTTTATAAAGAGAATGATGATTCCATGAATCTTGGTTATTCTGGAATCTTAACAGCAGGCGTTTCCTCTCTGGAAAATGCTCTTTGTCCACCAGGTGGCACTGCAGCACCCTCAGCCACTATCACTCAGTAGGACCTTGGCTGGTGTGTGAGGTGTAGCGTGTATCCACCTGTGGTGTGTATCTACATGTGTGGTGTGATGTCTGCATGTGTGTGCACGTGTGAGGTGTGTACACACATGAGGTGTGGCATGTGCACAAGTTTGACGTGTGGCATGATATGTATGCACATGTGTGATGTGTGAAGTGTGTGTACTCATGTAAGGTGTGGCTGTACATGTGTGGCATGTGCGTGTGTGAGGTGTAGCGTGTGCACATATGTGGGATGGCATGCGCACTGTGAAGTATGTGTATGCGTGTAGGGTGCAACATGTGCATTGTGTGAGATGTGGCATGTGTGTACGTGTGCATGCACATGCAGGCCCTGGTGCAGCTCTGCTGTGACCCCCTGCCTGGTTTTCCACACATGGGCCGACTCCTGCTGCAGTGCTCAGGTGACATGCCAGGTGTTGGTGTCAGCCTCTTGCAGGCACCTCAAGGCCCGGGTTTGCACTCCATGGGCTTCGGTGCCCAGAGGCAGAGCAGGGAGATGTGTGAGCCTTGGGAAGGCAAGCACCCTCGGTGACTGGAGTGACTCCTCCCTGCACACCTGGCATCACACTCAGCAAGCTCTCTGCATTCCCTTGACTTTGGAATAACGATTTCAGTGAGTGCTGCTAATAGCATTCTTTGATCAAAACTGCAACTGGCTTTTTATAATTAATTATACACGGAATATCATCTAATGGTGTTGGGCACACGAAGTACAATCGTTAATTCAGCTTACTATTGTTACATTAGTGACTTCATTTGTCTTTAGTACTATGGTTTTATTTTTCCTGCTGTAGTTATGGTTTATAATTTGAGACTTAAAAGGTCATACAATTATATTAATAGAGGAATTTTATACCTGTAATGCTACTGAACAAAACATTTAAAATATTTAAGAGGATTTTGGAGGTTTTCTGTACCTACTATTTAAAAAACAAAATTAGGAACCAGGCACGATAGCACACACCTATAATCCCAGCGGCTCAGGAGGCTGAGGCAGGAGGATCTCGAGTTCAAAGCCAGCCTCAGCAATAGTGAAGCCCCCAAGCAACTCAGTGAGACCCTGCCTCTAAATAAAATATAAAATAGGGCTGGGGATGTGGCTCAGTGGTCGAGTGCCCCTGAGTTCAGTCCCTAGTACCAAAAAAAAAAAAAACTTACTTTCAGCAACAAATCTCAACTTAGTATTAAAGTTTATTTGTATGTATCTGAAGCAATTTTCTCCCATTCTGTTTCTAAATTTCTAATAGGTTGTGAGAAGATATATTCTGGGTTCCATTGTTGAAAGTGAAAAGAACTATGTTGATGCTCTTAAGAGGATTCTGGAGGTACCACTTGTTTTTATCACCCTTGCTTACCTAGGTACTTCTGATCACACATGTTTTACATGCACCTGTAAGTTTTATATATTTATGAACACATAGTATTCAAGTTTGAAAACTCTGGAAGTGTGGTCTGTGTTCTGGCGTCGGGTGTCCTGCTGTCTGTCTTGAAGTCAGGGTCACTGGCTGAGCTGTTCTCAGGTGTTCTTTCCCTCCCTCGACCCGTCTGTGCTGCACTTGCTGCGCCTTCAGCAATACGAGAAGCCGCTGTCGGAGACGGAACCGCGGCTCCTGAGTGACAGGAAGCGGAAGGTGGTGTTCTACCGGGTCAGGGAGATCCTGCAGTGCCACTCCATGTTCCAGATCGCGCTGGCCAGCCGCGTGTCCGAGTGGGATGCCGTGGAGACCATTGGCGACGTCTTTGTGGCTTCGGTAATCCAGCCGCTACCCAAAGCCCCGGGGCTTGTGCAAGTCCCCTTCCCCTCTCGGGCTGTTTGGCCACGGATGCATGGCCTTGTCATGTAGGATCAGGGCTGCGCCCCCAGAGCCCTGGAGAGCCACAGGACCCTGACCCAGTGCATGCAAGGGAACAACCAGGGGCCTTCCAGGGAGGCCTGGGGAGCCAGAGGGTCAGGCAAAGGTTGTGCCTGGATCTGCCTGAGGTCGTGCCCTGTTGGTCTTGGCTCGCTGGTGAGCTGGCGGAAGGAGGACCCACTTGTGGGTGGCATTGCAGAGGGTCAGGAAGCACCCTCTCGCTGGGCCTTCCTGCCTCCGTCTTACTTTCTGGGCACAGAGTCGCCCAGGCCCAGGAAGGTAGAACACGTGTGGTAGGAAGACACGTGATGTTGTCCTCAGTGGGTGTGGGTCCAGGTCTGGGCCCTGCAGCACAGCCAGAAGTCATGTTGCAGCAGCTTCATTGACGTTTCCTGGCAGGAGAAGCAGCTGCCAGAAACCCCTGCGCTGAGTCCCTGCCTGGGCAGCTTTGGGCCATTTTATCCCGGCCCTGGTGGGGTCTTCCCTGTCATGTGCTGGCTGGGTTTCTGCCTCCACCTAGAAGCTGTGGAGAGAACAAAGGGGTTTCTGTAGTCGTTGAAGAAGGTGATGCTGCCAGTGGGTGTAAGCTTGGAGTTTTCAAGGGCTTGTTAAACGAATGCTATTCTCATGGCCAAAGGCAGATTTTCTTTGTAGGATGTTTTGAAGATAATGTGGAAACCAAGTTCTTACCAAAAGATCCGCGCGATGCCCTTCACAGGTCCTTATGGCAGACAGAATACTGGATACTTACTTTACGTGTTCTGCCTGGGCTCTGTATTTATTTCAGATTCGCCCTGGAAACCTATTTTAAGGTGGGGCCTTTTGTAAGCTGCCATTGAGGTGGCAGTCACCCTGGTCCCTACTGGGGTTGGGTGCTGACTTTCTGAGGACACAGATCCTCAGGGAAGAACATGGAACGATTTTCAAGTCTCTGGAATTGATGCCAGGGGCAACTGTACCTGCTTCTTGAAACTTGTGTGTCTTTAGGAAAATGAATGCACAGGGTAGGGGACCCGAGCCTGAGAAGCATTGTTGTTCTGCCCTGTGTTCCAGGGGAAGGTGGACGCCTGTGTCTCAGAGAGCTGGACCACCACCTCGTGATCCTTGCTCTCTAGTGCAGGTTGAGTCCAGCAAGAGCAGCTAGGCAGGAAGCAGAGAGGGCCGTCTGTGGGCGGGAGGGACGTCACAGTGGAAACCCAGAGCAGCACAGTTTAGAGTAAGGACACTGAGGGGCCTTGGCTGGGAGAGTGAGGCCAGCCAGCCACGGGGAGCTCCACAGTGGGCAGAGGGAAGGCCGCAGGACCCTGGCAGGCCTGGAGGGCCACCCTGGGCTGGGGGGCGGTGCCTGGACACCACGTGTCACCCTCCCCCTTGCCGCAGTTCTCCAAGTCCATGGTGCTGGACGCCTACAGCGAGTACGTGAACAACTTCAGCACAGCCGTGGCGGTGCTCAAGAAGACCTGTGCCGCGAAGCCTGCTTTTCTGGAATTCCTGAAGGTGAGCATGTGGCCCCGGGGTTGGGTGCCCTGGGAAGGTGAGTTCAGGGGAAGCACTCAGGGTGCCCTTTGCAGACCCCGCCCCGCAGGCATGGAGTTGTAACAGAGGTGGCTGTACCCACAGAGCCTTAGGTGTGGTTTTGGGCCTCAAAGGTAGCTTTTGAAAGTAACTCTTGTCCATCCTTGAAAGCCTACGGGTGGACAGACAATGAAGGTCAGCTCCCACAGCTGCCTTGGCCACCTTCCTGGGGTGAAGGAAGCCTAGGCAAGATTTTGGGTTGGAGATGCCTCTCTGAGTCAGGGTGGCAAGCAGAGCCCTGGGAAGGCAGACCCCGAGGAGAGTCCCCACGTGGCCCCGTGGGGGTTCTGTGCCTCCTGGCGCCTGCTGGAGCAAGCGCAGGGCCCTGCTGACTCTGGATTTGCATGGTGGACAGTGGTTCCCCAGCAGGCACTGGAGTGAGGTCAGGTAGCCATGCAGGAGGCTGCGGCCAGGGCGCGTGCACAGCACTGTCCTCTAAGCCAAGTGTCCCCACCTCCCTTATCGCCAGAGTGGCCCGTCGCAGTTGCCCAGGCGGGGGGCGGCAGTGCTGAGTCCCGAGGCTGTTCGTGTCTGTCTCTTGGGGGAAGAAGCGTGTCGAGTAGCCATCTCACTTCCTCTGAGGACGTGGCTGCAGCCTCTGAGGTGTCGGCCATGGCGTGGAGGCCACACAGCACCACTGATGGGTGTGCTGGCTGTCCTGCATCTTGGGGTGGCACAGCTAACCGTGCTCTAGGGCACTGTGTGGCTGCCCGTGCTGGGAGAGCTGACGACACTAGGTGCAGCCCCAAGTCGGGACTGCCCACAGCCTCAGCCGGTCAGTGGTCCAACCCAGTTGATGTCTCCTGCGAGGCACAGAGAGGTGGGCCAAGGTGACCCTTGGGCACCAGGACCTTCTTCTGCTCCAAGCAGCAGAAGAGGCGGCCGTCCTCTCCTGGGGCCAGACTGGCCAGGACTGAGCCCAGGGCACCTAAGATGGTAAACATGGCCCTTCTGGGAAAGCAGTGGCCCCAGGCTCTCCCCAGAAGAGGGCACGGAGTGTTTCTCACAGGTTGAGGGATGTCTTTCCTCCTGGAGTAAGGGCCGCCTGCAGGTCTGGATACCTCAGGGCACCCCATCTGTGTGATGGGAACAGAGCCCAGCAGGTGACTGGCCTCAGGAGTGAGCCGTGCTCTCCCCACAGCAGAGCCAGGAGAGCAGTCCAGACAGGGTCACACTCTACAGCCTGATGATGAAGCCCATCCAGAGGTTCCCGCAGTTCATCCTCCTGCTCCAGGTAAGGAGACGGCCTCCGTCCTGTGGCTCCGGCCAGCCCACTCTCACATCGTGCACTGAAGCAGCCTCTGTGTGCCATTTGGTGGCAGGTTGGGCAGGGAAGGTGGGATCCCTGCAAGAGACCTGCAGAGCTCTGCAGGCAGTCGCTGGGCCCTGGCACCTGCCAGCGGATGGGCCTCACCTGGAGATGGCTGAGTGTCTCCTGATGGTGCTCTCAGGCCCTTTTCATGGGGAATGGCAGGACACAGTCACCTGTAGCCCCCAGGTGCAGCCCCCTCACTGCCCTGTGTTCGCGGGAGCCACGCCTCCGCGTCCTGCGGCAACCTCCTTCACGCCCTCAGTCTGGCTGTGGTGCAGGAGGTTTAGACCCAGCCGTCTGCTCCGACTGCCTTCCTCTCTAGGCTCAGTCGTGCCTTTGGTCACAGGGGAGATGCGGGTGCGTCCTTTCCCGTGAACACTTGGCCCCTGCAGGGTCATTGTGGGTCTCATTGAGTGTGTGCCAGGAGGTGAGGAGGCCACAGAGCGGGGAGAGCTGGGGAGCCCTCAGAATGGATGCTGTTAGATCACTGTTCTCTGTGGACACAGTACGTGGCGCCCCAGAACAATGACACCAGTGACATTGAAATCACTGACCACAGACAGATGTGACCGCAGTGCGAATTTGAGATATCGTGGGAGTGACCAGGGTCGGGCACGGGTGGGATCAGGCTGTGCTGTTGGGGGAGAGGCTCAGCAGGCCTGCCAGGTCTGCCTGTGCGCGCCCCGAGAGCTCTGCTGCCCAGAGCAGGTTTGGGAGGTGCTGGGCACTTGGCCCTGCTGGGCACCGCACAGCACTGCTGCACACTCACCACTGCTGGGAAACCCAGGGGAAAGGGTTGTTGAGGACGCATCTGTGCGTGGGTGTGTGTGCCAGGCTCTAGATGAGAAAGGCACCAACCACTCGGTCACATTTGTAGAGACCGTTTCTAAGACAACCTTTTTATATTTTACTTAGAGACAGGGCCTTGCTGAGTTGCTTAGGGCCTTGCTGGGTTGCTGATGCTGGCCTCAAACTTGCGATCCTCCTGCCTCAGTCTCCCACGCCCCTGGGATGACAGCAGAGCGCTGTGTTTTGCACTAGTCACTCCATTTGCTGTTGTGAAAGGAGCTGCCCAGAGGCTCACTCTGCTTGCAGCCCTCTCCCAGCTGAGGCCACGCTGTCGTCCCCCATCCCACTGAGTGGTGCTGTTGAGCACAGCAGCTGGAAGCATGTGTGTGCTGACCGCCTGCCTTTTACCTCTTGCTCCCAGGACATGCTGAAGAACACGTCCAAAGGACACCCCGACAGGCTGCCCCTGCAGATGGCGCTGACAGAGCTCGAAACCTTAGCGGAGAAGTTGAACGAAAGAAAGAGGGACGCGGACCAGCGCTGTGAGATCAGACAGATAGCCAAAGCCGTGAACGAAAGGTACCTGGACAAGGTAGAGACGTTCGCTCCTCCTGCGCTGCGCCTGCTCCTGCTCCACACTGACGGGCCCTCACCTCAGCCCTCCCACCACGGGGCGGGGGTCCTTCCCTGGGCTCAGGTCTCCTGGTGGGACGGACCTGAGGCCTCATGCAGACCTTGTGGTCTGTCCGTCTCCGAGTCTTCTTGGGAAAGGGTTCCTAGACTTGGGAGCTCCTCAGCTGGGCCAGTGCCCGGGAAGGCCGGAGCAGCTCTCTGGCTTCACTGAGTTCTGTTCTGGACAGCAGTGCCTTCGTCCCCCCTGCAGGTCCGAGCTGGCTGTGGTGAGGACTGGTGCAGATGCAGGTTCATGTCTGCCAAGCAGGTTTCCTGCAGCAGGGTGCCTCTCCCTGTATTGTTAGCCGCCCCGGCCCCCGGCCCCCGGGAGGTGTGTTGTGGGAGCTGTGTGATCACACGACGTAGTCAGGGTGGCTAGGATGCCCACTTTTCCTCAGTGGGAGTGGTTTCCTGCTTGGTGAGGACGGTCAGTGGTCTGACCCTGAGAACTTCGCAGGATGCAGTCTGAGCGGCCATTTCCTCAGTTCCTCAAGCGCCTCACGTGGGGATATTCATAAGGAAGGAGAGAAGGCGCCAGCCGTGTTCTTGACATGGTCAGCTGACGTCACACTTGCCTGCAGCTCTCGCACATGTGAATCCATGTGGGCAGAGTGAGCCAGGCCAGGCACATGCACCGTGGAGTGGCCGTCAGTGAGACCTGCCTGGCTCTTCCTGGGCTCTCGGGAGAGGCCAGCTGGGAGGCGGACAGCTGTACCACCTGTGTATAGCCAGGCAGTGGCCTCGGTTCAGGCTCGAGAGGGTGGTAGATGCCCTGGGCCCAGGACCCTGAGCCCCTGTGGACTGATCATTGGAAGTGGACTTCTCTGGGGCCTGTCACTCGTCAGCTGGCACAAGCTGGCAGAGGCCTGACTCCTGTCTGGCCCAGGGACTAGAACGTGGCATCCTGGGAGAGCTCAGAGGCTCACCAGCGTGCTCCCTGGCGCTCACTGGAGAGTAGTCGGCCGAAGAGCCGCCTGCGGGTTGTTGGTGCTGGGGTGTTGACAAGGGGTGTCGGCTCCGGAGTGGAGGGTGAGGGGCGCAGCAGGTTCAGGGGGGTCGTGTCGGGTGACAGGTAACGGGAAGCTGCGTCCTTGGCCCGTCAGCGCCTCTAGGGAGGCGGGCTCCTTTCACCATAGAGGGCAGCTGCGAAGCTGATGTCTGTGAGAGGCGCACCTCGAGCCCCGCACCCCACACCTGGGTGGAACTGATGCTGCAGCCTCCTCTTTGGAAGACCTTTCCTCGTCCTCTTTCGTTTTCTGGGTGGACTCAGTGGTAACTGGCGTCATTTCAACATACAGCTCCTCAGCAGTGGAAGTCGGTACCTCATCCGGTCCGACGACGTGATCGAGACGGTTTACAACGACAGGGGTGAAGTCGTCAAGACCAAGGAGCGCCGGCTGTTCATGCTCAACGACGTGCTGATGTGTGCCACGGCCAGCCCCCGGTAAGAGCAGGCCTGCTGCTGGCCACCGTGCTGGGCCGCGCCTGCCTTACACCAGGTGCCCCGCTCTGCCCCCCTGGGGTCACTGCCCGCCCAGGCTGAGCTGTGAGGGAGGGGGCCAGGAGCGAGTCGGGGGGCCCTGCTGGCCGAGGGTGGCACCTTGGGAACCCGTCCTCAGACGGTGCTGGGGAGCAGGCCCTGGACCCAGGCCCTCGGAGCCGCCACTGTACCTGGAGTTCTCTGTTGTTGCTCAGATGCTTCTTTTCTCTGCTGCTTCTCTGTGAATGCATTTTGGCCTTCAATTTGGGCACATCAGGCTTAGTGTAAGAAATGGAGGGGTGCTTTGGTAGTTCTGTGCTTTATTTGTATTTATTTCTTTATTTTGGACCAGGGATTGAACTAGGACGCTTAACTACGGAGCCACATCTTCAGCCCTTTTTATATTTCACTAAATTGCTTAGGGCGTCACTAAATTGCTGAGGCTCACTTTGACCTCGCCATCCTCCTGCCTCAGCCTCCTGGGTCGCTGGGGTTACAGGTGTGCACCACTGTGCCTGGCAGGCTCTTCCACGTTAAGCAGTGTGGCCTGTGTAGAAGTTGAGGAAATCCAAGAAGCTACACACAGGCAGAGCAGGAGGCCCTGGTTTGAGAGTAACTAGACCTCCCTGGGGCTTTCCAGAACAAGACCTGGCAGAGTGGAGCCAGCTTCTTCGGCTTGCCAGAGCTGGCCGTTAGACTTGCAGGATTTGGGAGGCCAGGGCTGTACCTCTAGCCCGACAGGGCCCACTGGAGCACTGGCACCATGGACATCGGGTAGCACAACGCGCAGGCCCCCTCCTCCCAGAGCCTCGTGAGACACTCCCCAGCACTCCCACATGCCCCCGCTGCTGCATGCCCAGAAGAGCAGGGACCCCTGCTGGACACGAGGACCTCACAGGTTGGGAGGCCCTCAGTACACCAACCAGTGCACCTTCTAGGACTTTGTGAAGCACAAACTCTAAGAAGCCCCAGACTCCTTGTCAGCATAGGGGGATGAGGGCCTGGACGGACGCCTGGCAGGGTCTGTGTGAGCAAGGCCAGGAGGCCCGTGAGCTGGCTGGAAGAGTGGCTGGTGCCTATGTGTCCAGGAACTGCAGTCCTTGATGCTACTCCCCAGGATGCTCACCATCACCCTTACTCCTGCTCCCCAGGTCCTCACCATCCCCCTTACTCCTACTCCCCAGGTCCTCACCATCCCCCTTACTCCT